TTGAGAAATCCTAATCTACGGAAGAGTAATTTCTTCTTCATGTTCCAGTCCACTAAAAAGAAGCAAAGATTGGAACCATCATGAAGCAAAGATCATTGTCAACTCCTTAATCTAAGAAAGTAAAGTGCTCAACAATGATATATCAAATTCACACGCAAAGGTGGCAATGCACATTCATCACTGTAAGTTAAAATTAACAAGTACTCTACATCATTCAGGCAAGTGATCATCAACCAGGTAGAAGAAAATTAATGGTGACCAAGGCTCAGATATTCTAGACCAGAAGAGATAGAAAACAGAGAGAGGAATATCTTGTCCTGAATGTTGCCTGCATTTTATTCTGGTTCATTGACTCAAAAAAAAGATATTCAAAATATCCAATCAAAAGCCAAATGAAAATAGGAGTCTCAAACCAAAATTAGCTTTCGTCCTCTTTTGCATGCCCATGACATATCCTCTCTATTTGTATCAAACCGTTTTTATACATTCAATTCACTCACGGTAAATCAACACAAAGGACTGAATTCACTAATCAAGAGCTCTCCCTCAAAAACGGAATCTGCATTTCTCAGCTATAGAACCAATGAAAAGGGACAGCTGCGGATCTATATTCGCATGTTGAGAACAGCGAACCAGAAGTAACATATGCACAGTAACACCACCAGCATATGATGCAAAAAAAACATCATTATAACATCAAAGCACGTATACGAACAGCCAGATTTTCCATGAACCACTTCTAAAAAGCTTCAAAACCGATATATATTCATTGAATATAGAGAATCGATTGGGAGAGATTACCAGCCGGAAGATGCCGAAGAGCCTTTCGCGGGGACACCTTGCAGCGATTACCTCAGTAACAGTCGCGAGTCGTTGAGATAGAAGAAAGGAGATAAGTTGCAACGCTCGGTGAAGAGCGAACGGAACCCTAATTTAATGAAAGCCGACAGTTCCGATGACTGATAAAGCTTTTTTTTATGGAACTGCTTGGAGGAAACTTGGGCGAGTGTCGTCCTGAGATTCGGGCGAGCGTCTTGGGGGAGCTGAAGAAGAAGGAGACGAGGGGAGCAAAACGAGGGAGGAAAGAGCAGTAGACGGTGGCGGCGCGGGTTTGAGAACGTAGGAGAAAGAGATTGGGGAAAAGGAGAAATGGGCCACAACAAACTTTTCATGGGCTTCCAACTTGGGCTTTAACTTTTCTTTATTACACATTTTTAAGTTTTTTTTTTTTATTTTTAATTTTTAATTTTTTTTTTCTTAAATCAAAAGTTAACATGGAAAAATAAGAATCCACGGCACGAGCCAATCATATGCAATAAGAATCCATTATAAGGTATTTTGATGATTCATTTATCGTGCATTGTTATCTTATTCGTTTTTTAAGAGATTCTTAATTTTGTATCTTATTTTCGTGAAATGTTGAGACTATTTAAAAAATTTGAAAGAATATAGATCGCTCTTCAAGTTCATAAAAAATTTTAGTTGAAACGGACTTTGTATGACAATGGATCTTGTCGAGTAATACTTATGAGTTATCACTGAGTGAATGATTAAGTCTTTTTAAGTATAGATATTGTTGTTAAGGAGCAGGAGAGTTGATGTTGGTTATAAGGTAGATGATTGTGCCCGCGTGGGAATGGTCGTTGTGCGTTCTGCTAGTGAATATTTGAATGGAGTCTTGGTTTGATAGTAGGTTGTTAGGGTTCTAAACTAATGGTCATAAGTATTCAATAAGGATCTGTCAATGGTGTTATCTACAGAGACAATCTTAGGACTTTTATATATTTAAGATATTTAAGTTGGTCTTGATCACTTTGTTGGATAGTCTGATAGTCTCTGCATATAGTTGACAATCATATGCTCATAAATTGATGAATAGACCTTGGTAGTGGGCATGAAAGACAACGACAAAAATATCTTATTGCTCAAGTAAAAAGAGATTTTCCAAATCTTTTAAGATTTCTGTCTCAAGTTTTTGACCTACCATCCAATAAACATATGATGAAGTAAAAAATTCTATTCTTAACCAAGATTCATATAGTTTCAACAATAAATTATAAAGAGAACATAAGATAGAAGACCTTACGTGTTTACAATCTCTCTTATCATGACCCAATACTCTACGGTAGTAGTGATTCATACTTGAATTGGATCCAATGCTTCATAATTTAAGGTTTTGCCCAGAAAACACCAGCATAAAAAGAGTTTAATGATGTTGACTTATACTTGACTTTTATATAGTAATGGTCATTCTAATATGTAAAATTTATGTATACAAGATATTATATTTTACTAGTTACGATTTTAGTATTAACTTTATCAAATAAACAAAATGAAAGTCAGTTGAATTTTAAACCAAAATAAAGTAATAATAAAATCAACAGATAGATCGAACTTATACTATTCAACATAACAAGAATAGACTATTATGTTCAAACTGAACTTGTTAAAAATTTTTATTTCGTCAATCTCATATTTAAAAGTATAAATAAACATAATTTTATATATACGTCGAAATGATATTCCACAGTTAGTTTTTCAAATAGTAATAAGAAATTTGTCGGGTAATTTCGAAAGATAAAATTTTGCGAGATATGATCTTACCAATTCCGGATGTAGCTCTTTGAATCATAAATTACTAGAATGAGCTCCTCTTTGCTAATAGTAATTAAATTAGATATTAAATTATTACAAGTAATAAAATTTTAAAATTAATTTATATATTTATATATTTTTCTTATAAATGTAAATGATTTATTACCATCAAAATAAGAGTTATCACAAATAAGCACCGCAAGAAAACACTGCATCAGTTGAACAGGAAACCCAAACAAAAACCATGATTTAACAGCTTCATATCCAAACAGATTCGACAGAACAAGAAAATTTCAGATATAAAAGAAAGTGAATACAAAATCCATTTTTTTTTTTTTTTAACAGAAGAAGAAAGAAAGAAAAACAAGCCTAGTCGAGCAACTGTGAGGACTAAACAGGGAGATCGGCGACGTCGTTTTGGTGGTTGTCTTTGAAACGGGAGGAGTTCGAACCGCAGATCATCAGCGGACGATCATGGGCCTCGTCGGAATCATCGGAGTCGTCGGAGGTGGAGAGGTTTATACAAGAACAACGCTCAAGCGACGCGAAGAAAGCGGATGCCACGCTGGTCCCCACCCAATTCGCCATCCCGTTCAGCTTCTCGTACGACAAGATCCCACTCAAGCTTTCCATTTTCTCAGCCGCAGCGGATTCTCTAGTCTTTCCGCTAAAATCCTCCGCCGCTTAAGCTTCGAAAACGCCGATCTGGGTACTCAGAGAAGAAGCGCAGGGAAGGAAGATGAAGAACGAGGTTGTCTGGGTCTCAGATCGGAGAACTAGGGTTTCAAGGTAGGTGTTGAAGAAGATGAAAAGTCAAAAAGAGGGTTCGAGCCATGGTTGTTGAGTTAGTACGTGTTTATAAGTCAAAAGAACAAACAGTATGGTCATTACTGCCAATTAATTATTATTATTATTATTATTATTAATTTATGATATTTTTATTTAAAATTCAAAATTTAAAAAGTAATTATTTAAAAATTCTCTAGTTTTTATTTAATATAATTAAATTTTATTCATTTTCAATTAAAAAAAAAAGAGAATCCGAGGTGTCATGCCACGTCATATGGATAAATCTATCAACGGATAACTCCCACAACACAAGCCAACCCAACCAGAAAAATGGCTTCCCTTTCCATCCCAATCTCTCAGAGAAACTTCTCCCTTTCTCATTTCTCAACAAAACGCCGCCGTTTTCTTACTCCAGAACTCCACTCACCGGCCAAAGTTAGTTGCTCCGGTAAGTCTCGGTTACCCTCTGCAAGATTCATATATTCTTACTTATTTTTTCTTCTATTTTTACGAACCAAAAATAAAAGAGGCAACTTTATCATTCAATCTCAATACTACAGCATTATTTTTCTTTGTTTAGGTGATTTTTCATGTGGGAAAAGGGAAAAGAAAATACCCATTTGCTTGTTAATCGAACCCAGATTAATGCTTGTAATCAGACCCAGTTGCCTGAATTAGTTTGTTAATTGGGATTTTTTGGAGCAGTTGAAATTTTTTCTTCTCAAATTGAAAAATTGATGAGATTGGTGTATTCTGTGCTTAAGGGCAGGTAGTAGATATGAATCTGAGTCCGGTGAAAGCTTGTTTCCCGGCAAGGAACTCAAGAGTGTAGCTTGTGGAATTCTTGCTGCTTGGGCTGTTTCCGCTGTCTCTCCCGTCATTGCTGCCAGTCAGGTTTTGCAGTACATTTTTCCTCATTCAATCTCATTTTGGCTTGTTTGGTTCAATTCTATTCTTGTTTTGCATTGCATCATAATTTGTATGTTTGAATTCTTTCAAAATTTTTTGGAATGGGTTTCTGAAATTGGTACTGCCTTGTCAATTCTCGGTATATTAGGGTATTTTGTATGCATCATAAAACTCTATATTTGGTTTTGCTTTTTTTATCATTTTAAGGATAATTTTGTTATATTTCAATTGAAGTGCGGATTTAGAAATGAATTCCTTCAGAATTTTGGATTTGTTGCAAACAAAGGTTTGTTTTTGTTGATGTAGCACAATTCTGGAAATATTCTGTGTATATTTTGGAGAATGTTCTGGTATATTTTAGAAATATCCGGGGGAAAACCCTAGTACTTTGTATATATAAGGGTCCACAACTATATTAGTGATGTATTATCAATTTTCATCATAATAAAAAGTTTTTTCTCAATCTTACTAATGAGTATAAGTATGCTTACCGAACCACGTAAATTTTATGTCTTTTCAATATTTGCTCTAAACTTTATGTGATTGTGTGCATATTGGAGATTAATTTCCTCAACAGTTTTCTTATGAGGTGCTCAAGTTTATGCCTTCATCTGTTCTTCCTGATCTTTTGTCTTTCTCGTATTCTTGCTTTAGCTAAGTATGAATCGATTATTGCTTTTAACCCTCTAAGTTTACCTTTGTATATTTAGTTTATATGCTTCCTGTGATATGTCAAAATCAATTGTTAAGAAAATAGTGATGATAACTATGATGGTCAGCTTGCCAACTAAGTGTTCAGATGTTTATA